TTGAAGAGGTAGTTATTACATACTGGAAATAAAAACAAAGTTAAACTTTCTCTCTCTCTCTCTCTCTCTCTCTCTCACACACACACACACACACACACACACACACACACACACACACACACACACTTTTTTCTTCTAGTTCAAAATGAGAAAATTCTTTAATCTCAAATTATCTTGAATGCAAAACTCTGCACTCGCCTCTTGAATTCTGGGATCTGCGTGGGATGTCTATGAGGAGGCTCTAGGTGTAGGTCTCCAGAGCAGAGCTTTTTCTGCCAATCTCCCAGGAGTGACACTGAGAGCTACAGATGAATTAGAAAGATAAATCCCCATTTTCCACTTTCCTGTGGTTTCCAGTCTTTCTCTTTTGATAACCAAGCTCTCTCTTCTTGTGTGAGAATTTATGACTCTTGAAAAGAAAAGGGTTTATTCTAACTCTCTGCTCAAAGACATGGGTGGGTCTAGATATACGAAAAAATAAAATATTCGGAAGTTCAGAAATATACAGAGACCAATAAAACAAGAAAATCAGGAACTTGGTGTTTGAGAAATGCAGATAAAAGATCAGGGCAGGGTCAAAGTGAGCTGGGAGCTTGGATAGTAAGTAGACTGGAATTTTTGATGCAGTAATGCTCAGATCTGATTCAGGAAATCACAGGGGGCATTGGTGAAGGATTGTGGTCATTGTAGAATAAGTGGGAAAGAGTTTGAAAAGAAAAAAAAGAAACCTGAGTGTTAGTGGAGAATCTTCCTAAGTAATGGCCCTCACTTCTACCTGAGAGAAGAATTTTGTCAATGCATTGGCCATTTACCTCATCACTGTCATAAAAGAGCAAATAGAAGCAATTTACGGGGCAAGAGGTTTGCTTTGGTAGACAGTGTGAAGAGATGCAGTCCATTGTGGTAGAGAAGGCATGGTGGCGGGGAGTTGCATGGCAGAGGGAGCATGCAGTAGCTGCTGGATGTTTACATGGTGCCAACATGGAATCTGAGAGACGAGTCCGAACAAGAGCCACATGTAATTCAACAGGCCTGGTTCTAACCCTTATCTGCCAGGTTGGTTCCATGTCCAGTTGGTTCCTCAACCTCACAGAACAATGCCACCATCTGGAGACCAAGGATTCAAACATGTAAGTGCCATGTAGAGAAAGTCAAGTTCTTTGCCAGGTTAAGTCATAGCCTGGTTTCATTGTGTCACAGCTGCCTGGACCCCGAATACCTGCCTGGCTGAACCTGGGAAAGCAGCTCCCTTAGCATCTTTGTTCATGAGACTACCCTTGAAGCTTAGTCTTCTCAGGCATCCTTTCTTCAGGCAGTCCGTTTTCAACTCATTTGAAATTTTATTTATTCTTTGAGAATTTCTTCCATGTATAGTTTGATCATATCTGCTCCTCACTATCCTCTCCTATGCCTCCCTGACCACTCCTGTCCCCACATATCCTTAATTTGCATTATGATATCCTGGAGAGCAAGATGGGTAAGGGCTCGTTACATGGGTGGGGTCTTGCCCTCAACACATCATTTTATTGTACTGGTTCAGATTTCGAGCTTTCTTTTTAATGATACCAATCTCTTTAACAACTCCTAGCATGGTTTGCATCCACTCTGGCCTGTCCACAGCTTTATCTATATTCACACCCCAAGATACATGTTTCCATATCATTCTGTCCTGCCTGCCTCTCGCTTTTGATTTCTCATTGTAAACCTTATGAATAATATTGATCAATAACCATGCCAGAGTTTAGATGTTAAGCTGTCTTGAAATTTCTTAAACAACTTAGTCTATTGCTTTTTAATTCTGCCTCGATCGGTATTTCAGGACACAAACAGAACATAGCCTGATTTATTTCCATAACATAACATGAATAGTCTCTAGCTAGCTCCCAATTAAACCCTTATTCCACACACACACAAAAAAAAAACTCATGAGTGTTGCCTTTACTGCCTTTGTTAGTCTTTTGGAAGCTACTGTCCTGCCAGAATGCCGCATTAAGTTCTGCTTAGAGTATTCTAATGCTTAACCAGCCTACAGCTCCAACTCCTCCACATTCTTCCTATAAACCAATCAATCCCAAAGGCTTATAAACCATATAGTCAGATTATTACAGCCATTGTCTTACCCTCTGGTACTCATTTTCTATATCTGTTACTCTTCTCCTCGCCATGAAACATCTGACAGAGGAACTAAAGAGAAAACAGGTGTCATTTGTTGTAGCATCTGGCTGGCTCAATGGCAAAGGGGGCATATGACATTTGGTGGTACAGGCCACCAACCAGTTTGCAGAGGTGCTCAGACTGAGTCCCTAAAGTCCTATGTCTGCCTGCTATGTCACACACCCGAAACGTTATACAGTCTTCCCGATAAAGAAGCATTACCAACACAAGGGGGACGCTGACCTAGAGGGTTTGGAGTCTTGGCTTAATCTTTAATATCCGATTTGAATTTTTAAACCCTTTGTCGGAATTTTTTGGCATGTTTTATGAAGGAAAGTATCTGAGTCAGGTGGCGCTGACCACTAGGATCGGAAAGAAAACAGTCTCATATGAGGTGCCGGGAAAGAGCAGTCAACTTTGATCAACGATACAGACAGAAATTGATGAAACTACTCAGGCCTTGGGTTCCAAAGCATGATGTAGGCTTAACCTAAATTTAGTACCTTACACATGATAGATCCTTGATACAGATGTGCAAAGCATGCCTTGGTTGCTGCTTGTTCCATATTTCATCATATTTCCCTGAATACTCTAAGCCAGATTCCCCTCCAAAAAGTAAAGGCATAGCCATCAAGGAAAATAATTGCAAATCCGGAGAGTAACTTTCTGGATAACGATCTTTCCCTTGTAGTTTATTTTGGCATAGGCCATGCCTTTCATGCAGATAGCCACTGTTTACAACCGTTAGCCATGCCTTTCGTGCAGAATGGCTACTGTTTACTACTGTTATCATACTTTCCGGTCTTCACCTCCCTGAGTGCTCTCTTCCTGTTGCTACATACTGCCGTCCCATCAATAGATACCGCTTCCAAGGCTGCCGCGTTCGTTCGTTTTGTTACCGTACTCTTTGTCATTGGCTTTTATACCCTTGGGCATTGTTCAGAGGGAGGAGAGTGATGATGGGCACACGTAGAGAGCTTACCTAATGAGTAGGGATTTGCCAGGAGCTTTTATTGGGATCCCGGTTTCACACTGTTGGGATGCAGGCTGTATCCTTTCGAAACTCAGTCTTGAATTAACACTGTGGCTACAAAGGAAGAAGCCAAGAAGTTTGCACTTGTCTCAACTGTAGCTGTTTATTTAGCTGGGGGAATTTAGTGGGTGGCCCAGTCTTCATGATCAGGAGGAGGAGAGCACGGTTATAAATAGGGTAGAGGATGCTCTCTGGTGAGTGGAAAGCTGCACCGATGGTGCCATTCCTCCAGCTTTATCGCGGAAGATGAATTAGCTCATTAGCTATGCTGGTTTCGAAGAAGTTGTTGTTCTGGCCCTCAGCTGTCAAGCTACTTAATTCAAATCTAAAATTTTACTCTAACAAAAACTCTTCTTGATCTCAGAAACAAAGAACAATAGTAAATGGTACCCAAACCAACATTTTATTTGATTTATTTTAAAGTATGGGCACAGAGAATAGCTGTGACATGTAATAAATGGGAGCTTTATTTTCCTTTACTTTTGATCATATGTGGGGGTGGCAGTCATTACAGCCTCTAATTAATATTTTGGTCCTGCTTTTAATCGGTGGGCTTCCTTATGGAAGAGAAAAGACTTAAGGTCTTTCCTTACCAAAAAAAAAAAAAAAAACTTAATAAAGTGCTCTGTCAATCAACTACTTTTAAAACCAACTGTCTAGCAGTTTGATAAAGTGTGAGTTTGGTTTTTCTCAAGTACAATAGTGGCTAATCACATAGGTATCGCTGCTAAGTTTCTGCTTAAAACCCATAAACAGTCCCTACCCACCGTAAGTGCAACTCAAAGGTTACAGAAGGGACTACGTGATACAGTGACTGGTGGATCACACAGGCTGACTGCAATCCTGGCTCAGCTGCTTCCCAGCTGTGCGGCCTTAGGTACCAGAGTCCCCGTTCTGCAACACGATACACAACGTGAACGCCGGTAAATATTGACACATTCTGCCAATCAAGTGCAAACAACTAAGTTTCAAAGTTTGCCCCAACCACCTGTCCATAAATCCCTGGGCTGTGCCAATCTCACCACAAGGAACACCAGGAAATTGGCCCGAACACAAGTGTGAACTTCTTTGTGTGGTTCGATATATAAAAACGGCCCAGAGAAGGTCTGACCTTGAGAACAAATGGGGAAAAACAGAAGGAAGAAGATGGGGTTGGGAGGAATGGTGGAGAGAAGACTTGAGAAGGAAAAGTGGAACAATCTCAAATGTGAGATTTCACATTCATTCTCAAATGTGGAACGGTCTCAAATGAGCTGCTTTTTGTTGTTCTTGAGAAGAGATATATGGACCTGGTGAATAAACTTTGAAACTTCATCAGCAGAAGATCAGAACTTACACGTGAAGCAGAGGTATTGGCCTGTGGGACGTTTGTCCTGGTCAATTGCCTGATGTCCCTTTTGCTGAGACTGATACACTCAAAAGAGTTATGGACAGGTGACTGGGACAAACTTTGAAACTTTGCTGTTTGCACTAGATTGGCAGAATGTGTAATTATTTACAGGTGGTCAGTAAAGATGTCAGGGTAACACTTTTGGAGGACAAGGGATAGAGTTTAATATTTGAAGGTAGTGTTCAGGTGGCCTGTCCTGGCATTTGTTAGAGGACACAGTACAGCATGTAACACCAGACTGATTGGTTTAAAAATTTATCATTTAGAACATCTTCTCAAATAAAAAATGTTGGAGGTTTGAGAAAACACATTTGGGGAGGACAATAATAAGAATTTTACTGAGATGAAGCTATCCATTTAAAAACCTGAACTGAGACTTTATTAAAAGAGTAACTAAACTTTGAAATAAACACAACAGCTGGATTAAGAGATTAGGGATTTATTGTGATGATGCTGAATGAAATAGTTTTGAGATCAGCATGGTTGTGCATTGGAATAATAAATCAGAGAGAACTAGAATGCATACATAAACCAAAACAATAGTACACATCTTTAATAGGTCATTGCTTTCTCATGATTGATCCCTATTGCTTCTGCTCTAATTAAAGACGATGCAAAACAAAGAGAAATATTATGCATTTATATTGCATTTGAACATCTGCAATAAATTTAATGTAAACTTGTCCTAAGTCCAGTTGCATTGGAACTGCCATGTGTTTCCACTAGAACTCTTCATTCAGACTCGGACAGTCAATCTGCTGTCACTCAGAGCTATGTGTGATTTCTATTATTAAAATATTGTGTCTTCTGGGCATTGCTGTGAATTCTGAAAGTTTGTCTGCTGTGTCTATGTCCTCTATGTTGCCATTGCAGCATTCAAGAACACAATGAAGTCTTCTTTTTTTAATATTTTTTTTATGTTTTGAATATGCTCTGTCCACTAACATAGCTAGCAGCCTCAATTTTAGTTTTATTATCTTCTCGTTGAATCATTAACTACCAGCTTGAAGTTTAGAGATGAAGGGTGACTATCATTCTCTCCCATCCATCTTTTCCCTTTCTTTCCTTAAAATTGGAATTTTGGATCCATGATACTAATAATTCACATTATTATAATTAGATTGCATCGTAATAATAATTATTAATGATATCAGTAGTCCTATTTATTAATATTGCAGTATTGTGTGAACATAAATTTACAGAGAAAAGTATTGAGTGATGAATAATTTGGCTAGTTATTTTACTAATTTCACAATTTCTTATCAAAAGAGTTTTGTATGTTATTGCCTCCTTGTTCCCTCGGATAACAGAGTCTTGTTAGGATGTGGCGAAAGTACATACCTTGGAAACAACACCCTTTCTTCTATTGGCATGGATGACACATACAAAAAATAGGGAAACTTATTTCCTCTTGTTAGCACTCTGGGCAAAACAGCTCTTGTAGAGAAGAGAGCTCCAACAGATGTCAAAGCTCCCATGCTGTCTCCTGGCAGTTTCTCTCCCCCTCAGCAGGTTTTTCCTGGCTCTAGGAGACACTTTGGAGACAATCAGTGTCCTCAGTTTTCTGTCAGCATTAACTAAGCTCTGGGTCATCGTCCTCTCCCTGTCCCCAGTGTGAGCAGAACACTCCACGGCCACATTTTACTCTGCTGCCACTACCCTTCAGCCTGGATGAATAAATCTAGTGGAAGGCTGGCAGGAAGTTTGGCATTCACAGAAAAACAAATTGATATCTGATGCAGTCACGGTAGAAATGTAGCCCAGTGAGAAAGAATGAGTCTTTGGGACTCTTAAAAAAAAATACAAATGCCAATACATTCTAAAGCTGAAGAATCCACTTGAAGTTGCAACAAAATGAAGCGCTTAACTCTCTTGTTGGTCATGCGATTTGTTCTTGGCATTCGAGGAGCCAGGAGGCTCTTGCGGTCTAATCTGGAGAGAGCCACTAACTCCTTGTGTCACCTTGGCAAATGGGTAGTCCTCGTTGGGCTGCAGAGCTCCGTCCAGCTGCTGGATGGGATGAAAGCAAGACCTCACTGAAACCAGATGCTACCTCTCCGAGAAGCTCGCGGCAATAAATAATATCGTATATACTTTGTTCCTGGCGCAAAGACTGAACTGTTATAACCCCCTGTTTTCACTTGCTTCTAAATTTCTGGAAATTTCTCCTTTGGGCTTGAATTTTTCCATGCTTGTCTTCAGCCCAAAACTTTTTTTTTTTTTTGGAAAGTTTGACCAATATTTTATTTAGCTGTTTTTCCTGAGTGATAGAGAGTAGGAGCACGGCATTGTTTTTTTTAAAGCATAGTTTAAAATTTTCCTTATATACCTCAAGGAGAAAGAAAAATGACTGAGCTTCTATATTTAAAATATTTACTACTAGTAAAAGAATTTGGTGGATGAAGAAATGGCTCAATGTTAAGAGCACTTGTTGCTCTTCCAGAAGACCTGAGTTTGTTTCCCAGCATGCAGGTCAGGTGCCTCACGACCACCATTACTCCATTTCCAGTGGTCCAATGTCTTTGGTTTCTGCATGCACTATACATGCACGCATGTGCATGCGCTTGCTCTCTCTCTCCCCCTCCCTCCCCCTCCCGCCCACCCCCCCTCCCCCCCCCCCTCCCTCTCTCTCTCTCTATCTCTCTCTCACACACACACACACACACACACACACACACACATTTGAAGAATTATAGTATGTTGAAAAATATTAGAAAAGCTTAATCTCAGTATATTCTACTCTTTCAACAAGACCACACATAGTCAGGCAGCATAGAGAGTTTTCAACAATTCTAAACATTCTTTACTGTCTGTTGCCCTTCCCCAGTTACCAAGAAACAATTTGAGAAATCATAATTTGTTACCTTTTATAACCACTTGTTCTGTGCCTGTACACATGACTTCTCAAAAGGTGACATGGTTACATGCTATCACTTTGAAAAGAATAAACTGTTTATTTTGTGTGACCGTCAGAGAACCCATTAGTGTTAATAGTAGATTGTGCATCCCTTCGTGGCCCATATGACGAGTTATATGCTTGTCTGGAGACTTCAATCACACCTACTGTCTCACTGGACCAAAAATTCCATTAGCGTAGGGCCGGTGTCTCTTTCCCTTACTATTGTAAGTGTGGTACTCAATTCAGTACCGAGCACATAGTAGGAACTTTTTGCTGAACAAATTAAATGACTATAGGATATTAATCAGTTTTCTATCACTATAATGAAATAAATGGCATAGGCTACTTATGAACAAGAAGAGGTTTATCTTGGCTCATGTTTCTAGAGGTTCAAGTCCAAGATCAGACAGCCTCGTTGGTTTGGATTGTTGGCAAGGGCAATAAGTCAGAGTACACAACAGGGGTAGATGTTAGAGTAGAGGTTCTGCTCACATCTTATGCCAAGACAGAGAGAAAGGAAAAGATGAAGGTTACAAAATCCCTTTCAAGACCACTGTGCTAATTATATGGAGACTTAACACAAGGCTTTGCCATTTATGGATCCTGGTCATTTCCCAGTATCCCCTCCTTGGCCCAAGTCTTTACATATTGGCCTTTAAGGGAAAATCATCGAAAACATAGCACATCAGTACAATTATTTTTGTTAATTGTTTTTATATCTTTATCCACACAGACATGAGGACACTCAATGAGCATCATCGAGCATCTATCTATTCTTGCCAGTCATTAGTAGGGATGCTGAGAATGAATCTTGGTTCTGTCAGGTCACAGAAAATCTTGAGAAGTTATTCTGTATACATGAAAAAAATAATTGTACTATTTCAACTTCATTACTATACCTGAAATTGAAATATTAGGCAATCAATTGAAAACCAGTCTGAGGGAGCTTTTCAATTTTCGAACATCTATTAAGTGCCTAACTTTTCATAAAGTGCTAAGAAGAGATAAATTAATAAGATAGTCTCAGTCAGGAAGCCATTTATGTTAGCCATGAAAAGAAAGAAAAATCCTATAGTATTTGTTATGCAAAGTGAAAAATAATGAATAGTATGGGGGGAGTCAAGAGCAGGAGAGAGATCATTGAACTAAAAGGCACCTTGGAGCTTGTGCACAGTTGAAGGTTCTGGAAAGCCTCATGATATGGTTAGACAGTTATTTGAAGTTTCTTTTATAGTCACAACCTGTTGCCATGTATTCAGTTCCTTCAACTTCTAGAAACTTGTCAACGCTCCTACTGCTGGAAAATAAACTGAAATGAGGCCTCAGCTTTTACATCAATGGCCCTAATCATTATTACTAACTACATAATACCCCGAAATAACTTGATAGTTTGGCAAACGTGGGTAAATTTGAAGTTCTCAATTTCCTTGCTCTGCCTCAAGTTTCAAGAATAGGTCATAGTGGTTTCTGCATGCGTACAGTTGACAATCTTAGTTAGACTCCCTTGTTCTCGAGCATGAAACTACATGTGGTTAAGGCCAGCATTTTTTCCCAGGATTGAATTGTTATTTTTTCTAGGTCTTTTGGGCACCTGCTAGGTGTAATTTCGACTTTTGCTTCACGAATTAAGATTGTTCATGCTGTGGATTCTGAACTGTTAATAACAGATTTAAAAAAAAAAAAGTTTTACTGTTTCTCTTGCTAAAGATTTTCGTCTGCCAAAGAGACAATCTGCTTTGAAAGAAGATCACTGAAGACGCTCTTAGCACAAGCCTTTCTTACAGCTTAGGTTGATTTTGATTTAGTTTAGTTTTTTTTATTTCCTTGCAACAAGAAAGAAGAGAAGAAATAACCACTTTTTTGTTCATTTTTAAAAAAGGAGATATGTCTTGGGTCAAGGTACTAATTACACAAAACAAACACATGTAAATTAGAGCTACATCTACGTCAATAACCAGAGTAGTTTTGGAAATAGTTTGAGGCAAAAGGTTTGGCATACTCATGGATTCTATTAGCTAATTTAAAAATAATTTTAAGAAGCTTATTGTGTTCTCTAAATTTCAGATATTGGCCGAACAGAAAGGCTAAAGTCATGGTTTTTCCCTACTGGACTTTTTGGGTGTTATTAATTTATAAGCAGGATTTTATGGTGGAGAACACAGGAGGGACCTTTGTACAAAGTTCTGAGCCAAAATAAATATTCCATTGTTCCATGGTTTTGTATTGCACACAGGAAAACATTATTATCATTATTTTATTAAATGGATACAGATTATCCGATTAGTAATAAAAGGCCAGTGGTTAGTTGAGACATTTGGTGCATAAGAGGTGGTAGGTGCTGACTGCCAAATTTCTGTCAACACAAGAAAAAAACATTCATATATCAAAGTATTTTTCTCATTTATTATGTAACAAATTTATGCATGTTAGTACACACCAGCATAAATGTCAAAAATACTTTCCATTTTTAGTAGTCTGTTGAAATACTATCTTTCTGTTTGAAGATTAAAAGGGATCATATGATAGATATATCCAGTTTTAATAGATTTATTTTTCTATTGTTTTATTACATGTTTTCTCTCTGTCAGTCATATTGAAATCAACATATATTTAGCTGTAAGGCTGATTTTCTGTTTATCTTCAACCTTTTTATCCTTTTTCCTTTTATTGAAAATAGATTATTTTCTCAAATAATATATCCTGATTATGGTTTTCCCTCTCTCTACTCCTCCCTTCCTATCTAAATTCACTTCCTTTCTGTCTTTCATTAGAAAAGAACAGGATTCTTTTTTTTTTTCTTCTTCTTTTTTTGTTTCGTGAGACAGGGTTTCTTTCTTTGTAAAGCTTTGGAGCCTGTCCTGGAACTAGCTCTTGTAGATCAAGCTCTCCTCAAACTCACAGGGATCTGCCTGCTTCTGCCTCCCAAGTGCTTGGATTAAAGGCATGTTCCAGCACCACTTAGCCTAGAAAAGAACAGGATTCTAAGATAAAATAATAAAATATAATAGGATTTTTTAAAAAGCACATCAGAGTTGGACACAACAGACAGATGTCCCGATTTTGGTGTCACTAATCAAAAAGTCACTCTTACCATTCCCAATAGGTATAATTTTCACTGTGCCATGCTGAAAGGGGTTGATGCCATTATGGCTGAAAATTGAAGAACTTTCCTTCCTCTTCTTCCCCCTCCTCTTCTTCTCTTCTTTCCGTGCCCTAATCATTTCTGGATTCTCCTTTCTTCCCAGTTTCCTCCCCTTCTTTCTTAATCTTCCTACTCTTCTTCTTCTTCTTCTTTTTCTTCTTCTTCTTCTTCTTCTTCTTCTTCTTCTTCTTCTTCTTCTTCTTCTTCTTCTTCTTCTTCTTCTTCTTCTCCTTCTCCTCCTTATCCTCCTCCTCCTCCTCCTCCTCCTCCTCTTCTTCTTTCATTCACACTGTTTCAGTTTTACACAAGCTAACCACGCTCAGCAATGCATTGGTGGTACTAAGGCATCCAATCTCAGTTTGTTCTTATGTCTTCTAAAAAGAAGAATAGTTAAATAGAGGTATTATAAGTAAGCAGCTGAAACTAGAAACCAGAAAACCTTTATAAAGGATAATTGAGAATGCTCATATAAATGTATAATTATTTTGGAATAATAAAAGAAGTAAACTTTTTAACATCACTGAATCTCATTCTAAGAAATCTTGACAAGCACTTCTGAATGTATTCTCAATATTTATTATTTGTTAATAGCAGAAAAGGGAAGCTTCTTATGGATAGCCTTAAAATAGGCTCCACAATCATTGAAGGTGGTGACTTTTTGGCTTGTTTTTAGATAGAAACTCAGCTATTCACAGATGTATAACATTTACTTTGGATTGCTATGTCCTTTATAGAGATTCTGCCTTGTGATGTCTTTTATTGTTAATGTGTTACTATTTTATGTCCATCAAAGAAATCTGCTTTATTGGAGCAGAAGGAACAAGACAGTTTGTAGTAAATGGAGGCAGAGATCATGGAGGAGGATCATTGGATGAGACTTTTAGGCCTCAGTAATCACTTTGTCATTTATTCAAAGTGAGATGAGATGATAGTACAATGTGTTAAACCAAGGGATGGTGTGTTCTTTCATTGGTGAGATCAGTTTCCCAACACATCCAGGTAAGAAATGTGAAGATTATTCACAGATTTGAATGGGCTTAAGAAACTAAACAAAATGGAATTAGTGACAGAAATGGTTTGATTTTGAGGAGAATAGAGAAATAAACCAATAACTGCAGTGGCAATGACTGGAATAGTTAGGAGAGAGAGAGTTGTTTTTGTTTGTTTTTCTTTTTAAAAAAACTTTTAACATGTAGACAGCTCTTGAAAGACACAATTTAAATATGACTACTGAGATAGTCAACTGTCATTGTTTACTTAGTGTTTGTTGATAGTTTAGTTGGGTATCAAATTCATACTGTGAGTTGATTATTTTCTAACATTTTAAAGGCTATAATCTAGCACCTGTTGTTGCTAAAGAAAACTCTTTTACCCTATCCCTCTGAACATCCTCTTATTTGAAATACTTTCCTGAGATTTTCTATATTCCAATGCCTTGTAGTACTCTTCAGTGATAAATATAGGCTTTTAATATATAGTTTGGATTCCTTCTTTAGCTTTGTAAAATTAACATTTATAACATTTTCTGTTATTTTTCATAATTGAATTAGATCCTTTCTTTTGGGAACTTTTGTGAGATTTATGTTGGAGATTATCAGTTTATATCCCATTGATGATAACTGCTCATTCAAATGTTTCACAGATAATTACAGTGTTCAGCACAAGGAAGCAGTTCCAAGTATAAGCTTTCAGTATCACATTGCCCAGCAGTTCTGGCATTGGTCATATTTTAAAGTTATTTTTAGGTATAATATTTCTCATTGGCTACCCAGTTTTTGAAACCAAGTGAAATATAAAAGCCTAAAAGTATGCTGACATCAGTCTGACAAAATCCAGCTCATTAAAATGTCCTCTCTCATTTTTTATTAATTTATTTTTACATCCCAACCATAGCCTCTTCTCCCTTCCTTCCTCCCACTTCCTCCCCCTTCTCACCTCTGCCCCTCAATGTACTCCCTCCTCCATGATTGCTTAGAAAGAATCAGGCCTCCCATGGGCTTCAGCAAAGCATAGCATACCAAGCTGCCATAAGACCAAGTACTTCCCCACGTATTCAGACTGAGCAAAGCAATCCATCATGAGGTATAGGTTCCCAAGAGACAGCCAAAGCACTGGAGACAGTCCTTGCTCCTGTTGCCAGGAATCCCATATATGGACCAAAATATACAGCTGTATATGCAGAGTGCCTATGTCAGTCCCATGCAGCCTCCCTGGGTATTTGTTTAAACTCTTTGAGTTCCCATGAACCATAGTAGTGGTTTCTGTGGGTTTTCCTGCTAGGCTCCTGACTTCCCTGTTTTCTACAATCCCTCCTTCCTCTCCTCAGCAGAACTCCCTTAGCGCAGCCCAGTGTTTGACCCTGGGTCTCTGAATCTGCCTTCACCAGTCGCTGGATGACGGCTTTCCAATCTGATCACAGGGGATGGCCAGTTCAGGCTATGCATTCACTGCTTCGAGTCTTGCTCAAAGTTTCCCTTGCATCAGGCTTCTACCCCACTCCACAAAAGTCCCCTTTCTAGTCATCTCTTTCAGCACCATCCCCTTCATCCACCTCATAACCCCTCAAATTCCCAAGCCCACCAACCCTCAGTCCAACTACGGGATCTCCTCTATTTCCCTTTCCCAGGGAGATCCAAGAGTCAACCCCCCACTTGTCCCCTCTTTGTTACCTAGGCTCTGTGTGTGTGGATTGTTTGGGTATCCTTTACTTTATAGCTAAAGCCCACTTATGAGTAAGTATATACCAAGTTTGTCTTTCTGGGTCTGGGTTACCTCACTCGGGATTACTTTTTCTAATTCCATTCATTTGCCCTCAAATTTCCTGATTTCATTGTTTTTTTATTTTACTTCATTTATATAACATTTTTTTTCATTTATTTTACAAACCACAACAGTTTCTTCTCCCTTCTCTCCTACCGTTTTCCCCCCAGTAGTACTCCATTGTTTATATGTACCACATTTTCTTTATCCATTCTTCAGTTGAGGGGGCACCTAGGTTCTTCCCAAATTCTCGCTATTGCAAATAAAGCTGTTATGGACATAGCTGAGCAAGTGTCCTTGTGGTATGATTAAGTATCCTTTGGGTATACGCCAAAGAGTGGTATCGTCCGGTCGTGAGGTAGATTGATTCTCAGTTTTCTGAGAAACTACCATACTGATTTCCAAAATGGCTGTACAAGTTTGTACTTTCTCTTTTTCAATTCCTGTTGTTTTTTCATCTCTGGCAAATAATGATGATGTGATCCTTAAAACAAAATATATGCAAATGCAGAAAGAAAAAGGAAGGGGCCATCAACAAAGAGAGGAGTCCAACAAAAGTGACAGCACGTATTTTTTAGATATTTTACAATAAATGTTTAAAAGAGGCCAAGCATAGTGGTGGCACACCTTTAACCCCAGTCCTTAGGGGTCAAAGGCAGGCTGATCTCTGAAAGTTGAAACCACCCTGGTCTACAAAATGAATTCCCAGATAACCAGGGCTACACAGAGAAACCCTGTCTTGGAAAAAAAACAGAAAAACAAACAAAAATAAATGTTTAAAAAACTATTCAGTTCGAGGACAGCCTGGTCTAGAAGAGCTAGTTCCAGGATAGGCTCCAAAGCTACAAAGAAACTCTGTCTTGAAAAAAATAAAAATCTATTCAGTCTCACCAATCCCTAACTGACTACCAATTATAACAATGGCAGATTATAATATCCATTAAATTATCAATCATAAAAGGAAAGAAGATGTGAGCAAGCAACAGTAATACAACAGTGACTGTGAGATATTGAATTGCCCTGTCTGTGTGATAAGAGTGGAGACTGGAACAAATGAACGAGATCAAGAAAAGTCTCACCAATTCTACCTGGCTGTGCAGAAGCAGTGCTTCTGGGAGCACAGCAAACTTCCATCCTCCACCATCCCAGAGAGGTTCACTGCGATATTTTCCATGTTATTAAAAAACTGGCAACGCTACATTGATGCACCTGCAAACATTTCAATTGTCAGATCATAACAAGGAAACTGAGGCCAAATAGACAAACATAGACATTCAAGGTTTCGAGTGAAGAACTGTTTGTTCTATTCCATTCTTTAAACATATAAGGAAAAAACATGCCGGTTTTAACTCATTGAATTGAGTTCATAGCCAAAAGATGGGCTGTGGCTCGCAGTTGAAAAATCACTTGCCTACATGGCCAGTAGTAGCTACCACATGAAATACTAACTCATGTGGTCATTAAGTTTTATGTCCTTAGTTTTGTCTATAATGAAGTATGAATGGGAGATACTACTCCTCCATGGAGGAGGCGAATGCTTCCCAGCTTGTGAAGATTTTTTTGTAAGATACAGATCTCTCCACCTTCCAAATACAGCCTGTCATGGATCCCTCAGGGATGCTGAGTGCTGCTCTTAAGTCTTCTCTCCACATCCCTTGCAACTTTGGCAAGCAGATGGGATCTTTCCCGTTGGCCCAGCATCTTATTGCAGCACCCCCTGTTACTCAGCCTTTGATATTAGAAATTCATTCTCAGCATATTCAGATAATAGCAATAAAGTTGGGCTGATTTCATTTGGATTACCAAAGAACAAAAGGCCTTTTCTAGCTGGGAGGCAGGAGGGTGGAAATATATCCAGTGTGTACTTTGAAAATTCTAACAAATAATTTTCTAGAAAAATGGGGAGACTATATCTGGAAAGTACTTAGGAGATTCTAACATAAATGAAACAAAACAAGATAAGAAGGGAAAACATTTTATACAAAGCCATTTTAATTTTCTTTATAAATTTTATTAGAAGATCTCATCTCTTCCTCCTCCTTACTCTCTTTCATCTCTCCACATACATGCACACATATGCTTACTAATTTCCATGTAATCAATTGTTGTCCACTTATAATAAAAAATCAAGGTTGACTCTGTAGACGTGAAAGTCTTGATTTAGCTCATCTTCTTGAAACAAATGCAAAGTTCCCATGTCTACAGTTCTGTTGGAAGCAGAAGGTCTCAGTTTACCCTGTTGACATTATCAGAGTAACAGTTTTGTATTCAAGTGGTTATAGGGAGCCAGAACAGAAACCTAGAAAGGAACAGTCCAGACTGTTTTTAGATGTGCTCTTTCCTATTCTCTTGGTCTAAACACTTTTTTAATTTTATGAAGTCCCTAGTGGCTTGAGATTTGAAAATTTGGTTTAGGGTAACATGGGACAGAATATCATTTATTTTCTTTATTAGACCAAAGCGATATTCTTATCTAACAAGGACTTTGCCTCTGCCAAGTCTAATAATTTCCCCCAGTAAAACTACTGACAAGTTCTAACTATTCCAAATATATCTGGCTTCAACACTGCAGTGGGGTTTATCACTCTCTTAATAAAAAAAAAGGAGAAGTTATTCTTGAAGATTTATAAAAGGGCAGATGCAGACTTTATACACTTATGTGCTCTCCTTTTCTATAAATGTTGGATAGCATTTTAAGTTAAGTTGCTCTACAAGTCTTTTCACTCATTCTCCCTTGTTGTACACTGGAATCTGAAAAGTAAGGAGGAAAGGATTCCCTTCCAATGATACATTCAGAAGACCGAGGTCTGCATAGTAATCCTCATCATCCCAATCTAATAGGAGATGGAAAGGAGGTGCTCAATCCCCCAAATCACGTGCCACTTCTACTCATGACTTGATAGCCAGGACATAGTCATGTGACCACGGTTAGCTACAAGGTTGTCTGTGAAATGTGTTTAACTGGACCCTGTTGCTAATTCAAAGTAGAAAAATGTACTTAAGAATGGCAACCAGTAACATACTTAAAGCGTATTGCATTAATCTGATGAATAGTCATTTGTATGTTTAGTCAGAAGGTATATCTATGTTGTTTCGTGTGTGTGTGTGTGTGTGTGTGTGTGTGTGTGTGTGTGTGTGAACATGAATTGTAAAGAGTTAGGAAAGCAGTCAAGTCGAAATAAGAATGATGGCTAGGACATGGGCATTTCCAACAGAAAAGGTAATGAAAATAGATTCAAAAAATAACTGAAAAGATAACTTGGAGAGATGAAATGGGCAATGAAATGGGATCTAGAGAAAGCCTCTAGAAAACACCTCCACTTCTGACATGTAGTACAAACTTGACAGCCAGTTAGTTATCGGTACCTAAGTTTTGTTTTACAAATGTACTTTAGAGGTATCTACTATGCTGTCAGTTTCTGTGTGTCCAAAACAATTTCAAACAAATTAATGACAGAAAAATCACTGGAATTCTCAATGCTAGTTAAGGTTAATTATTCAATGTTATGCTCTCTCTGGGCTGGTTTATCCTAAAGGAGTTTGAATACATTCATTACATGTCACGAAATGGTTCATTTCATACGTACTTCAAAAATCTAGCTATACAAACAGGTCTAATAACCAGCACACTAATTCTGTCAACACTCATGGACCACAGAAATCTTCTTGTGGTAATAGTGTGTACAGGACTGTTGGTTACTCAATGAAATATTCTCCACAGTCTTGTGTGTGGAGTTATTCAGTCCATACTTATTAGGAACCATGATTGGTCCAACTACAGGAGTAGTTACAAGAACTATGGCACAATTCCACACCTGGGAAGTCATCCTTTTGTATGTTGTATCACTCATGTATGTAATTCACTAATAGTTAGTAATTTGTACCTTATCTTGATTTGTGACCTTTTTCATCTGAGAGAGCTCAATTATATGGTAACTAAAAACTATCCAACAAACAAAGCATGGATGGGATGTGTACATCTGTAACCACAACAGCCAGCAACTAAAGACTGACGCAAGACGATCAAGAGTTTAAGGTCATCCTGGACTACATAACAAACCCTTTCTAGGAAATTTCTTCAAAAAAAAAAGAGAGATAAGTAAAATAAATAAGAACATACCTAAGTGCAAGCTTCTTTTCAACGAAATGTTCTTGGATGGTCAGGAACTTTGGTGGCTTCAGATGAAGGAAGAAAGCAATACCTAGGACATGCTAAATGTGTTCTCGTTAGAGACACTGTTACAATGACTAGTTGAATGTCTAAAATAAAATGAAATATTCTAAGATTTCCAATCCATGGTGGTATTTTAGAATTTGTTCTTTCATTTATTTCTTCAGTTAAAAAGTACTCAATGTTCTGCACTCTGAGTCCTTGGCAAACTCAAGTCCAGTACCAGTGCATTTCTGCTTCTTTGCCCTTGCACTTCTTAGAGGTGTTTCGTCTATCTTGTGTTCCATCTATCTAGATGAGAACCATGGTCTGTCTTGAGTTCTAGCATTCAACTCTCTTCTTAAACATAGTGTGGCATCAGGGAGACGCCAGCTCAGCTTGACCTTCACTGCAGCTGGAATCATCCAAAAATGTTCTGGGCATAGGTCAACAGCTACATCAGATGAAGCAATCATCTGGCAAAATTGATATACTCTTCGAGCACCAGGTGTGTGTGTGAGAGTGGGAGAGACCACAAGATAGAGGGTTATTAATTTATGGAGATTTTTTTCGGAGATTTATATACCAAACCAACAACTCCTAGAAGCTAACAGACCATGACAGCCAAGCAATGACCAAGAAACTTCTGTGAAATTCTACCTTCAACCCTAGCTTCTCCACCAGATTTTAACTAAATCTTTCAGATCTTCTTTCAAAGGTAAATGAATGGAAACAAAAATTGAAAATATTCTTGATATAAATTCTGACAGGAATTATAATAATACCTAACCTTGATTCCAGAAATATCTGGTTTGTATTCCTGTATGGTTAGCTTTGATTAAAAGCTCCTAGAGTCAGGTCAGGTCTCCTTTGCTCCCACTGCTTGCTTTTACATTTTTAAAAATGAATTTATGACCTAGCTAAGCTTGGACTATTTTTTCATTGTTGTTATTCTACTTTATTGATTCCTCTTTTACCTAGATTTCCCTGTATCCTTCTTCGATCTAATTCTCCAAATAATTCTTTTCCAAGTGCTGGCGAGGACTGGCAAAGCCTTTGACTGCTTGTTCCTTTCATCATTAAAATGTAATTTGGGCTTCTAAAGTCTATTCATCAAAGGCAGGGCTAGGTTCTTGAGCATTACTCCATTTGTGGAGCTGGTACAATTTGAAAGATTAAACTTTGCATCTGGAAATGCTCCAAGGTCTTAATTCTGCTCCGTGTTTTCCATTCCTGCATTGAATTTACATTGATGAAAACACCCTAACGATCTTGTATACTTAATTTACCTTTCTCTTTCTCTGAAGTCTAAGGGACGGTCATTTTGAAGAAAAGGAAAATAAAGGTTTTGTCCTTCTAGGGTTCGAGCTATAGATCTTTGCCTATTAAATCTGATGTCTTAGGTTTCTTCCTGTCTGGTTGACAATAATCACCTTTCTTTGCCTGCTGTGATAGAATCCATCATTTTCTTATATCCCTCTGAGGCATGCAGGTAAACTTTCAACAGAAGAACATGTTCCCACCACCTCCAAATACCTTTGAAAATACTATCCTGAGGTCTTTGTCTGCTCCAACAATAGTTCATTTAAATCTAGGTTGCTGTGTACTCTGATAGAGAGTAGAGACCCCAAAAGGATCCTCTAAAGAGAGAAGAGAAAATCACTCACTGTACAGGAGAGGTTTATAGAAGCCAGGGCTTCTGTGGAAGTAGAGAAGAAAATCACCCAACTTTACATGGTAAGAGGTAGGCATTGCTGCTAAGAGGCTTCTAATTGAAAAGACCTTGAGCTAAGGTTCAGGGGAAGGAGTGGCCAAGGTGATGGAGTTGGAATAGGAAAGAGAAAAAGGGCCCAGAGATTCAGAGATGGCTTTGTGGACAGAAGAAAGAGAAAGTTTGGAAAAATAGTAAAGGAAGGAAATGACGTGGTAGAACGAGGCCAGATGAGATCACACAGAGCTGGATGTACATTTCTGAGAGTTTGTTATTTATGCTAGAGGGCTTGAAACAGGCAACAGACCTGCTGTGAGAGAAGAGCAAGCGCTGATTTTTCTGTATGGAAAGTAGATGTTTCCCCACCCCCAAGGTTCTAACAGGATTATTTCATCTAGATGTAAGAGTTGATTGGAAGCAAATGCTTCTCTTAGCTTTGTCTACACCTTTGCCATACTTTGAAGAAAACGTCACGGAGAGCTCGATCCACACTGGGAGTGGTGTATACATAGCGAGCCAGCTGAGACAGGAGGGATGGGAGTCCCTGTGTGTCCGTACTTGTTACAGTTTGTTTATGCCCGATGCCTAACCATACATCAGAATATGAGAGTTGATACGTATGTGCCTGGGAATGAGTGTGTCCGGTTGTCCCCTGAAATGCTTCTTGAAAATAATCCAAGTGGCAGGCTAGAGAGAACATAAACACTGAAGCAGCTCATCTGGCCGGGAAGAGGTGACCGGGTGCTCGCCTAACCAAGCTGTAGCCACCTGCAGGGTCTTACATTTCTATTCCCCCACTCTCTGCGCCCCTTCCCTCATCTATAGATGGAGACTGTTAACCTAAAATGGTTCTTAGGATTCCATCCCTCTTCCAGGCTCTGTTTTTGATTCTGCCCCCCTCAGTAGTTTTCTTGGGCCTCATCATGACTTTCCTTGACCTCTAATGCATTATGATCAATAGGAATTACCAAGGTTCTTTGTCATCAAACAAGTTACATCTTTAAAAAAAATTTAATTTAGTGGCATGGGTAATGATTTTCAATGGAAAAATTCATGATTCATGCTTCTGATGAAAAATAAGTAGAAAGTCATTTACACAACCTCACCAATTCTTCTTTACTTTTTATCCTCTTGATGTTTTTCTGTTTATCTCTCCGGTAGAAGCAGAGTAGAGATTGGATGTGCATTCTGAGGAGACTGAGGAAAAGGCTAAAATGGGAAAGCTGACCTCATCAATTCCACACAATAGTCCATTGTCTTGCAGCTTGAATTTGTGGCGTGAAGTAGAGGTTAAAATTTGGTATAGGCATAAAAGAGTGATTGATTAACTCCTGGGGTGATATAGACAACCCAATGAGGAGAATGATATTTGATTGCGATTTTGAAGGTTAACATCTAACAGCAGCCTGGGAAGCAAGAGAAGACAGTCCATGAGGGTGATTGTTGAAAGTCCAGTGAAGAGACGCGGTAATGGTGTAGGGTGGAGGCAGAAGAAAGCACTATGTTCCAGGGAAAAGCCAGGATGAAAAGAAAAAAACACACCATCTTTCTCAGTGCTAACTTAAATGTGAGAATAAATGAAGAAATCAGCATTCAGCTCGGGTAACTGAGTGAACCCTGAACTTACTAAGTAGATAGGAAATTTTAAAAAGAAAAGATAAACCTACTTGACAATTAGATAAAGATTTGGGCCAGGTGTTAATTTTGTTTTGTTTCTAAGTGAACTCAGAAAATAAGATAAGAATCAGGTTGACTCTAGGACTCCACTGAAACCGAGAGAACTGAGTGACCCTAAGTCCTGGGAGACAGCAGCACCTGTGTCTGCATTGGGACATTCTTGTTTACAGGTCAGAGAACTTTGTTTCCAGGAAGATTCAAGAAACAGCTCCAGTTCAGGTAGGAGTTGTTTTAGATGCTGACAATCATCCACTTATACTATTTGCCACTGTCTGAAATGTCTCCATTTTGTTAGTCAGCATTTGGGAATCCTGTTCTTTGAACAGCTTCCTGCAGATTATTTTTTTTAGCCTTTAGAAAGTCAATGAAAATTCATTATCGAGACACATTTAGCTATGTCATAAATGTCCAAATCATTCATTTACTCCATTATAATCCTTACTATATTTACCTAGTGCCACGTGTGGAAATTTGGCTTAGAACTTTTGAAGGAGGCAAACATCCAATTGCCACCTTTTGTCAGACCTTGCCCAAGGTTGTGGTGAAGAAAAAGGAATTGATTTTTTAAAAAGTTGTTTTGGAATACCAAAGTAACTGTTAGTTTTGAGCTTCTTCTGCCATCCAGAGCATTTGGATCAATCGGCTTCTTCATTTTAACATATCGCTGTTCACCAGTAACTTCATTGGAAGAGCTTGAAATGTGAAAATTCCATTCAGATCACTTTAATTTGAAAGGAAGAGGAATGGTTTGTTTCTATTAGACAAACTGCAGAATTACAAAATCCACTCAGTGACATTTTGGGTGTCTATCTCTCGGGCTTCCAAGAGACAGTATGTGAAGAGTGCCAATTCACACTTTGGGTCAACCTGTTGATTCCAGTTCTCCTCATTGTCCATCCAATTTAAAAGAAGTACATTGAGGTCCTTTAATTATAATTTCCTGAGAAATACTGTGATGGGCTCCTCAGAAAGTCAATATAAATCTCTTTGGAATTAAATGTGTAATTCAGGAGGATGAGAAACACGCCCCCCAAGATTGGCACAGTGTGCCACCAAGATAGACAGCCCGTCACCACACAGACCCCAGTCAGTGATAGGTTGCAACCTCAGTTTGGATATACTTTCCTACAGACTTATTCCAGTTTTTAATTCCCACGTTTGGCCTTGAATTGAAATAAAAAGCAAGGCCAACAAACTCATGAAGACACCGTTTTCCATGACGTTTTTCTCGTCTTCCCTTGCACAATCTCATGCAGATCTATGTGTTCAAAAAATCAGTTCTGCCGAGTGGCCCATAGGTAGTCAGACCCCTGTGCCTGATTTACACAAGCCAAAGTCAAGATAAAAGGCCGATGCTCTTGAATAAAATCTTTTTGTTTTCCATTCCTTGCTGTGCTAGAAACAAATTCCATTTCAGCTGACTACTGGGTTTGTTTTTAAAAAGTGAGCTCAGAAAATAAGAATCAGAAGATGGTTTTGTGGCCCTCGAGTTGAAATATAGGAAAATTAATGACCTTAAGATATGAGAGAACATTTCAGTTGTCTTTGTTGAGACATTCTACTTTTCAGGTGTAAGTCTTCTTATCCCAAGAAATTGTAGGAGACAAAACTATATAAAAACTATCTGATTTGTTTGTTGTAGCTCATAACAATTATCAGTATATATTATTGCAAAGTCCCTTTAAGATCCAAATTTCTACATACAGGTAAGATTCAATCGCATATAATCTTCCTGACCAAGGAAGTCAGCCTAGGACTCAATTCTGGACTTTTACAGCCTGTCTTCAATTCCAATTGCTTCTGTAACAGATTACCATAAATGCAGTGGCTTATAATACCCACTTATTGCTTCACAATTATGTTGATAGCAAAGCACACTGTGGCCCAGTTGGGATCTCCTCTTAGAGTCCCCAAGGAGGGAATGAAGTATCCTAAAAGCAGGGTTATCCCCTGGAAGCTCCTTCCAAGCTCATTGGACTTGTTGACTGATATCAGGTCCTCACTCCTATCAGAGTGTTTCGGTTTCCTTGGTAGACAGCCAGAAGCCAGTCTGTGCTGCCAGGGGCTGTTTGTACCGCACCTCAAGCTAGTCCTCCACCAAAAACAGATAAAGTCCTTCTCAAATTCCTAATTCCTCTGCCCCCCCCCACACACACTGCAGTATCTGACTTCCTCTTCCACTCTCATAAGCTCCTGTGACGGGATAATCTCCTTATTTTCAACAGTTGCTTAGTCACCTTAGTTATCCCTGCGATGTCCCTTGACAGCAGCAGTAAGTAAATCAGTCCGCATTTGACGGAAGAGTTAGGAGGTCTTGGAGGGATTTCACCATCATTGGCTTGCCCAAATGATGTCATCAGTGACATTTTGAAAGGCTGCCTGAGTGATTGCTTCTCTACCTGTGGATCTCTTTATCTTGGCCTGCCCAGGTCATCAGTGACATTTGGAAACATTGCCTGAGTGATTTCACCTTTTCCTGTGCTATTTTTTTTATCTTGCCACTTCATAGAATAATAATTTTGTTTCCTAATTTTATATTTGTTATTTCAACCATTTGACACAGAAGATTAATGAAAAGTCAAGTTATGAACGGGGCATAGAGACAAGAGACTCTTCAGTTCTAGGACAGTTTTGTCTGGCTACGTGGCAAGTTTTAGGACAGGCATGAAACCTCATCTCTGAAAACTAAAACAGAAAGAAGCAAAGAAGAAAAAGTTAAGGAAGAGAGAGAGAGAGAGAGAGAGAGAGAGAGAGAGAGAGAGAGAGAGAACTACCATACAATTCAGCCATTCAATTCTTGGGTATACACTCAGAAACTTCATAGAGTTATTTCCATATCCATGTTTATTGCTCTTCTATGACAGCAAAGAAATGGAACCAACTTACATGTCTAGCAATTATGAGTGACTAGTAAAAATGGGACACACCTACAAAGAGGAATCTCGTTCACTCACCAGTGAGGGAAAAAAGTGAACTCATGAAAAGCTGTAAGAAAGTGGACAAACTTGGACGGTATAATTTTAAGTGAGGGGACCTAAACTCAGAAAAAAAGGAACCCATACGTTCTTTTCTCATATGCAGACCCTAGCCTACAATGTATGCGTATATTCATGTAAACAGCTCTGTGATTATAGTATAGAATATTATAGAAAAGAGACAAAGAGAAGTTCAAGAGGATGGAGTGATAAGAAAAGACAGACCACAGGCAAAAGGACAGGACACAGGAGTCATGAAAGAGGACATAAAGCTACATTTTTGCGGTGCTTTTGGGTTGCTTTAGTTTCAACTCCATCAGTTCTTGGCTTTTTATTTTTTGAGGTAATAAGCAATCAGAAACATAATTGATAATGAAAATGTGAAATCCTAAGAAAAGTTCCATTTGTTTTAAGTGGTCATTGTTCTGTAAAGAAGTTTATGAGATGCATAGAGCTTAGGCCTGGGGAAGTGTTTGAGTGGCTACCTTGATCTAGCTAATCTTAATCTGCTTAATCAGCTTAATCTGGTGGTTTTGCTTGTCAATTAACTAGAATACATTGACTTTATTGAAAATGTATCTTATTGATATTAATGTTATCCAGTTTTTTCTTTTTTAATGTGACTATAAGAAAGTTTAAGGTGATAAATGTGACTTGCATTTCTGTTAAATCAGTGGTTTTCATCCTTCCTAATGCTATGACCCTTTCCTCATGTTGTGGTGACTCACATCCATAAAATTTTTTTGTTACTACTTCATTACTGTAATTTTTTCTACTGTTATGAATAGTAATATAAATACGTGGTATGTGGATATCTGAAATACAACTCCCAAAAGGGTTGAGACCTACAGGTTGAGAACCATTGTATTAGACTGTTCCAAAACACAGTTATTATTGCAGTCATTAGCAATGAATGGTCTAAGTTCAGGACCCTGTGATCTTAAAGAATGAAGTCATTTGTATGCGGCAATCGTCTTAGTGATGAGACATGACATTGATCTGCCTGTGTTTTCTATCTTTCTGGTATCCAGTCAGTTTAGCCAAAGCAGCTTCTTTCTATTTTTATGTATAGGCTTAAAAGAGGCAAGGTGATGACCCCATGGCATTTAGTGAACATCCAGCCCAGCCTTTAGGCAATGTATTCAAACAAAGGCCAAGTGTTCTTGGAGGCTCCAAGGCAAAGAGGTGACTATGATGTTCCTTGATCAGTACAACTCTTTAATAAACTGCTACATGGGCATTCATGGATTATCACCAATGTTATGAGTTAAGGCCAACATTACTGTGTCAGCTTTAATGCTATCACCATCCTTGACAGCCCTGTGCACGGGAAATAGTAGGATGTCTGCCTCTCTCTGTAATTCCAATCTCAAGTTTACTATTTCTGTTCTTTTTGTTCCTTCTCGTTTTTTTCTTATTCTCTGACCCCACGATCATGTTTTTCGTCCATATAGTTTGCGTGCTGAGAAGTAGACAATATAAAGGCAGGTGTTAGAGATATTGAAAGCCCTTCCAGACCCTGCCCAAACAAAACAGATCTTTGTGAGCCTAGGAGATTCACTTCGTTTTGATATTCTTCTAAACCTCTGTTTTCTCATTCGCTACATGAGGTTCGCATTTGCAGTATTTGTGTGAAGAGTGAAGGAAATAATAAGATGCCCCATGTATTTCTTAAATTAAAAAAATTCTAATGCAGATTCTTTGGTTAAAAGACTGAGTGTTGCACAGCTGCTGTCCCTCCTCCGTGGCGAGTGGAAGAACAGAGAGATAAAGAGCCAGGAATGTCAGGACATGGGTGGCCTTTCATAAATGCCAGGGATTGCACGTGGCTTCTCTCAGAATCGTGGACTGGTACTCGAGGAAGACAGTCAAGGTTGCCTGTTGAGTGACCACCAGGTCACCACTTAAGCAATACTGTGCTGGCACTGTAGTGTGCATGACAATAGTTGACTCCTCTCACGATGCTTTTCCTAGAAGAGCTGGTTGCCTCACTCTTAATTTGTTAACTCCCAAGTACTTTACCCGAAAAGAACAGCTCTACCCAGTAAAGTTGAGAAAAACAAGAGATTTCATTTCAAATGTTACCAAAGTAATTCTGTTTCGGAGAAACCTGTGTTTCTGATATTTGCCCAAAGAGGCAGAGACATGTGCATTCCTTAAAGATTTAAAAGCACTTGGGACAGTCTGACTTGCTAAATCACTCCCTGTTAAATAACTGTCTTATCAAGACAGGGAATGCTTTTG